GAGCTTGAAGATGTAAGAAATTCCCACATTTCTTTTATTTTGAAATTACATGAACTCCCGATACAACAACATATTATAAAGCAAATTGGTTCATCCCGTGAATGAAAAAAAAAAGAAAAAAAACATGTTAACATTTCTCACAAGAGAGGCGCAGCGTAACAAATTTCGCGATTACGTCTTCAGCATAACAATTGACAATAACGATAAGACCTGTTCATTAATTACCCCCTCCCTGAATTCTAATGACCTCACTTATTTCATCAAAATGTTACTCGCTGCAGCATTAAAAGTATATGATTCAAATCGAGAATGGAATCTAATCGCTCCTCTGTTCGTTTCCCTTAAGTCTCATTTTAGAGATAGATTAAACCGAATCACTTTCCTGCCTCGTTTCTTCAAGTAGCCGCAGGTCTTAAACCTAATCAGCATCTTCCTCGGATAAGTGCCTCTTAGTTGTTTACATATTGTTTTCTTGGTATTGTAGGTGGATATCATCTTATTCTGACAATAAAATCAACTCATCTCGTCACTTGGTCCTCTTGCCGAGGTACAAGATGATTTCGTTTCTCAGGCCGCCTTGAGGCAACTAACAGGGCAAAGTTCTATTCAATCTCGGATAATTCTTAAGGGAACGATAACGGGAGTCACGTTCCGTGAGGCAAATTTAACTTTTTGAACATTTTGGTTAGTAAAAGATGAAACCTATCTGATCGGTCAGAACTCGCAAAACCTCATGCTTCATTGGGGCCTCGTGTCTCCTCTAACGAACCATTCTAACGCGCAAATTTTAATAGAAACCATTCGCACGCAGATATAAGCAATTATTGGATGAGGATAAACATGACATCATAAAGTTTCAAAACCGAGGTTTGAGTTATCTGCCAAAGTCGAAGGTAGATTTTAAACTCGAAAACTTTATCTGGTGATAAGTTTTTCTATTTTCTGTGTACTGAGCGTCTTAGCATGTTGTCCTCGGTGAAAATACTACAAATAGACCCCCTTTAAACGAAACTTCCAAGTTCACTAAAGAAATAAAATCCATAACAAGATTAATTGGGCCATAATCTAAAGTATTAGTAATACAGTTTTACTTCAGTTGTCTTATTTTGATTCAACTTTTCTTGTTAGTAGTTGTAATCTTAAAGTTCGGAAGCAGGTTAAACTTAATCACGTTAATTTTTTGTCTGGTTCTTTTATGTTATGTCACATGTGGCCAAACGAAAAGAAATAAGCTGTTCAGGGTTAACAGTGTGGTTTGGTTAGTGTACTAATTGCCCCCGATCCAAACTGAGTCGTGTCACTCGGAATTGGGGTACAACGGAATTTGGGATTTGTAGTAAAGGAACTTCGTCAGGTATAGCCGGATCCAGCTACTTCCATCAAAGTCGAAAGGTATAGCGGTGTGAGAAGAGTCGGTATGCAGAGGATCAACCTTTTTCATGTACCACTTTGCTTCGGAACAATTCACACACTCATTTCCCCAGATATTGACATGTTCGTATGGCCGACAGGTGGCTATAGCCGAAGGCATGTCTACGATGATGTCAAAGTCTTCAAGGGAAGCTCTCAGGCAATCTGTTTACACGGTACCATCTGTATTGTATCTGCATTTGTATCGGCAAGAAGCTCTCCAGTGAGTCGAATGATCTCTGAGCCTAAGGAGGTGAGTTCGTTTGATAAAGTAGGCCTGCCAATTGGGGCATCACCGCTGATCGCTGGCAAGTCAACGTAGAACACGATTGTATGAAAACAGAGAAAGTTGATTTTAGTTGATTAAAACCATACAAAAATCAATTAAGGAAGATCATAATGACAAGAGTAATTTAGGAGCTGCTTGTGGGCTCATAGATTTCAGTTCCCCCATTGAGACATGGATTGCTTCATCAGTACATGACATCAGTACATGACTTCTCTTGCTGCGAAAACCAAAAAAGGGGAAAGTTTATTGATTCTATCTCCGTAAATAGTAACAGATATTCCACCCGTATTAAGCTTGAGTAGCGAACAAATTCATCGTTACGTAAGAGCCTTCGACAGCTTCTCGGAATTTCCTCAAATGAAGAACGACGAATTGGATCCGGCTGCTTTGTGGTCCTGACAGTTTTTTAGCGAATTCTGGCAGTGCCTCCCGCCATAGGCAGCGCCACAGGAACAGCTGTACCGAATGCCTGTAGGCTCACAGACCTCAGAGCAGGTTCCTCCATTGAGACACGGATTGTTTTTGCAGCAGCCGTTGGCACACGTGACGTCATCAGTACATGATTTCTCTTGCTGTAAAAACCAAAACAGATAAAGTGATGCGCAAGTATTTTGCTTATCGCTGTTTGGGCTACGTAACTAATTTTTTTACGAATAGATATTTACGTAAAATAGAATAAGTCCTAGGAAATTTCCACGTTTAAGTAAAGAAAGATCATGACATACTAGTGTAATTATTCACCTTTCGCTGATATATCCTCCTAAGATTGTAGTAACGGGATCCTGACGAACGTTCAAGGGAACTGTTGTGGGTAAAATTGCTGGCATCGTTCAACTCACAGTAACTGGCGTCTTTCTTTTCCTTGTAGTTAAAAGATAAACATTGACAGTCGTGTATACACCACAAGTAGCACTGAACTGGGTTTGGAGTTACAGAATTGTAGAAAACATAAGCAACGAGCTCCTTTTCTTGCAAGGCATCCCCATAAATGTCGAAGGTATATGTTTGACAAAAACCTGTATCGCAGTTGCCTTTTGCTTTTGTAAATGTATAAGACATAAGAAGATTGGTAAGAAAATGAATCAAATGCTTAGCCATGATCATTCTAAATTGTATTTTTAGCATGTTATGTTGGGACGATGTCGAGCTTCATCGCACCTGAAGCTGTTACGCAATGGAGACAGCGTGGAACTCACATTTGAAGTCCTCTTATTTTTCTTTTTTCACCTGTCTACGCTCCATGATTTAGCATACGTCTTGCTGGCTTCAGGTCAGAACTTTTAGTAAAAGAAAACAGACAGCGCAATGAGTTAGTTAACTGGAATTTTCAATTTGTTATTTCGCGAATTTGGTAAAACAAGAAAGCTAGAGTGGAGTGTACTGCCTAAGAATTCTTTATTTGTTCAAAATGCTATTTACACTTGGTTGACCAAGTAAAAGCGTCAAAAAATTAATCATAACAGTCGCCATATGTTGGCATGCAATTACCATGGCCTTTATTGAAAATAAAATGTTAATGACAAATTCTCTTAAAAAATTTATGGTTTTCATAACTTGCATGAGCTCCATGAACGAAACCATTTAACCAAATTCTCTAGAAGACAATTAACCATATGGTTCCTAATTAGCATCGGAGCATCAGGTATTGAGTTCAGTTAATTTTTAAATCAGCGGGAGTCACCTTCCTTGAGACAAATTAAAACGGTTGAGGGGTAATCAGCTTACTTCGACATTCAACTTTTTGAATGTTTGGCTGGGAAATTAATTAATTCCCCTTGATAGTAAGCTTGGGCGACCATAATCTTTTAGCCCGGATGTTATTTGCTGCATGTGTGTGACTTGTTAGAGGAACAATAAACACGCAAATTTGGATGTTTTCAGGTTTAAGAAATTAAGTTGAGTTTGATTTTATTCTCACAAACAATAAAATTTCTCGGTAGCAAAAGCCGGAGAGTAGTAAAGGAATATAAAGATTCGGGAGATAAAGATTTTCCAAGACAGCTTTCGCTGAAGAAAGTTGGCGGCGTAACATCCACGAATAATTGATAACCTTGAAAGCCTGTGCTATGAGCAATATTCATGCTGTATCGTGCAGTGGAGAAGAATTAGTTCTCAAGCACGAGTAACAGGTATTTAGATGGAGTACTTCTTATCTAAAGCCGTCAGGTGCTGTTCCATGTAAGACTTCAGCAGAGAGCTTACAAGGTGACAAATAAATAAGGACTGACTTAGCTAAATGCAGTCGATGTTTGGTTCTCTATGCCAACCGTTTACTGAGAAGAATAAAATTGGCAATGATTGGATGATCCATGGTTTCTTTTTTTAACTTTTTGATTAGTGTTTCTTTAATGTGATCACCGACTCCATTGACATTTCGTCGGGTAAAAGTGAAGGATGTCTTATTGAACTTAGGAACAGTTAAGACCCGGTTACCGTAAGATTACTCAAATCGTCCCGATCGGTAACATTCCTGAGAAGATTGGTTTGATTCGCGTGCTGTTTGTAAAGCAGGTGCAACTTGTTATACAAACATCATCTTCCTAAAATGTCTTATTTGCTCCCCAATCTTGACCAATGTTTTATTGATTCCATCCTTTATCAATGTCACTGACAATAAAGACCGCTGCTGGATGGATATTTTTAATCATTGGTTCTTCTCATAACTGCTCGAATTTAATTAAAATTTAGGAATTAAATTCATAATGTAACTGAGGTAAACTTGACTAGTATGTTAAAAACATTACTCGTTAGCCTTTGCTTTTAAGAGATATCTCGCTGAAAGTTCAACATGCACTGACGGTTTGTTAAATTTTTCTGCCAGTGTTCACATACATAGTTGACCTTTCAATTTTAACAACATTACGTGAATAGCACTTTCTTTCTAAAAAAAATAAACATTGCTAGAGAGAGATAGATGGAGAGAAAGGAAGAGTAAAAGAAAGTGCTTGACATGATATCCCGAGCAAGCTAAGGAGATGATACCCGGAGTTAGCCAGTGTTTTACTATGTAGATGCTGTGAAGCCCCCTTTTAGTATCCATTTTTGAAATAAGTTTACTCTGGTAAATGTGAAATATTAGAGAGTTTGTTTATATTCTAAAGTGAAATAATCAAACATCTTAGGAAGACGACAGGTGAAAATTCCAAGACAAACAAAAGATCGAATTTAATTTCCCATACAATTTATAAAATTTCGCAGCATGTGGAACAAACTCGCTTAAACTGTCTATAAAAGCACGCTCGACACTAGTTGAACGAAACAAACAGTAAAGTCAGTTCTAAACACAAGAAGGAACGTAACTATGTCTTTGATTCATTTCCTTATCCTTTTACAGATTTTTTGGACGTTTACAGAAGCAAAAAGTAACTGCAATACGGGATTTTGTCAAACATATCCCTTCGATGTTTATGGGGATGCAGTGCAAGAAAAAGAGCTTGTTGGCCATGTTTTCCACAACTCTGTTACTTCAAGCCCAGTTCAGTGCTACTTGTTGTGTAAAGACGACTGTAGATGTTTGTCGTTCAACTACAAGGAAATGAACGACGCCAAATACTGCGAGTTGAACGATGCAAGCCATTTCACCCACGACAGCTTTCTTAAACGTTCTGCAGGATCCCGTTATTACAACATGCGAAGGTTTTTTCGCCAAAAGGTAAGTGAAAATACACGTATTGTTGTAGCATTTCCAAATACATTCCTAAAATGTAATTTAAAGAATGTTGCTTGATGAATAAAATCGATTTCTTAAAAAATACCTCTCTGCGAACAAACAAAATATTACTTGCATTATTATCAATTTGTTGCGTAGTGTGCCAACCAATTCGAAGCTTCATCATCCCCTCGGGAAACCCTGGGCAACCTCGGGACTGGTTGAACCTTCCCTAGGTGGAGTGGGGGATTTGAACTGAAAGTGTCAAGTCTTTCCAGCGGAATACAAGTGTTATATTTTAGGTTATTACTTGGACGTGGATGTTTTACCAAGAAACAGAAACTATCGTAGAATCAACTAACAGCTGCACTGGCGGTGTAACTGATATAAACCTTTTAATTATGTGGGCACTGGGTAGTCTGTTTCTATTGGTATCCAGTGTATTCATTGTCTAGAAAATAAAAATAAAATTACACGTTCGCTCAAAGATATATAAATTTCGTGTTTTCGTAGCACGAATAACATCTCACTCCTTCGTTCCACTCACTCGTGAGATATTTTCCTTGCTACTCGAACATATAATTCATATCCTCTCGTCACCGTGTAATATCCCCTATGTTTATCCAACGTAACATCTTTTGAAAAGGGTTATCATGTGCTGTGGGAATGGAGTGTGTATGTGGTGCGATTCTTCTGATTTGGTTTCTACAGAGAGAAACGTCTTGCGTTGGTGACGTCACATGTACTAATGGCTGCTGCAGAAGCAGTCCGTGCCTCAATGGAGGAACCTGCACTGAGATCTGTGTGCCCACAAGTGTTCGGTACAACTGTTCCTGTCCAGTAGCGTTTTCTGGAAAACACTGTGAGACTCAGTTGAAGAGCTGTCAGGACCACAAAGCAGCCGGGTCCAACTCTTCTGGATTGTACACAGTCAGTGTTAACAACATACAAACCTTCCAAGTGTTCTGTGATTTCAATTCAGAGCCTGGGTTCGCTTGGAACCTGATTGAATCATTCAGTCTGTCAAACAAAGGTCAATTCCAGGTAATTTGGTATCTCTTTGTATTTTCACCGTTATTGCCACTCAGATTAAAATGATCGACATCGTTATGTTAAATGATTCGCGGCAGGTTCATCGTGAAGCAGCATTCATTCCCCCCTGAATAATTTATTGAAATAAGCAGATGAGATTGTAAATAGGTTGCGATTAACAAGATAAGGAAGGATACTTTTGACTTTAATATGGTGGAAGATACTGTAAGAATCCACAAAAAACTGTCAAGATTACATAGCAATGAGTCTAACTTGTTTGGATAGTACACAGTTATCAATGACAACAGTCGAAATTTCCAAGTGTTCCGTGATTCTGATTCAGAGCATGATTTTGCTTTGAACCTGATCCCATCATGTAGTTTGTCTCAAAACCTCTCCGGGTAATTTTCCCAAAACATCCTCGTCAGAAGGCGTATCCCTTCGATTAATTCTTATCAAAGAAACGTAAAGAGGGTGGAGAATTTTCCTCGCAATGTGCACCGAGATTGGACATATTGTTGTTGCTTTTTCAATTAGTTTCCGTGATTTTCCCGCTAAATGTTCTCCAATGACATTTCTTTTTGGCCTGTCTACCACCATGACACGACCTTCACTTTCTACTCTCTGTCTTCAGGAAGACATCGTGTTTTACGAGGACTACCCAGCCATCAGCGGTGATGCCCCAAATTGGCAGGCGTACCTCGTGAAACGACCCTACCTCCTTTGGCTCAGAAATCACTCAACTCACTGGAGAGCTACTTGCCGATACAACACAGATGGTATCGTATATACAGATTACCTGAGAGCCTCGCTTAAAGATTTTGATATCATCAGAGACGTACCCACGGTGATACATGTCTGTCGACCCTACGAATATGTGAACATCAGAGGAAATGAGTGTGTGAATTGTACCGCACGGACATGGTATAAGAAAGGAGATTATCCTCTCCATATCGATAGTCATTACCAGTATGACTGTGATTTCGATGGAAGCAGAACAGACACGGCTGTGTATGGCGAGGACAACTTTGGTCTTTATTATAATAGTTCTATAAATCCTAAATTCCGTTGTACTTCAAGCGAGAATGACACCACCCAGATTTGGATTGGAGGCAAGTAATTTCCTCATATAAGAATACACCTGTAGTTTTCGTTGAAAGAAGTTGGTCATCTTAAAAATCATTTAGACATGGTTACCTTTAAAATGTGATCAGTTTTACTACACGCCTGATCACCAGCTGAGTAGTTTTGCAAGTAAGCAGTTTACAGGCTCGAAAAAACCTGACTAATAATCCTCGTCTGATTTCTGATGCACGTAAATATAACAGTCCCTTTTCACTTTAAATATGAAAATTACATGGTTTCTGTATCTCCTTAAAGTATTATTACTTTACATCACAGCTAAATGAGCAGTTTGTAGGTTTGAAACATGTTTGCGAGATTTTTTAGCTCTGCTAGTACATATGCAACTTTGTTTTGATCTAAATAAGAGCGAGGGGGTCTGTTGAGACGATGTCAATTTCCGTAACTGAACTGTTTACTAACGAATAACTACAATCAATTGTTGTATCATGAGAAACTGGTCACTATTTATCACCTGAGCGGGGGAGGGGAGGGGGGAGTGTTGAGAGATCTTAATATTTCACAATAAAAGTTACCTGATCCTCTAAAGGCTCTGTAATATTCAAATGATCCCGCCTCATTGGCAATCAATTTTCTGTAATCCCCACTCAATACTCTGTTAGCGACGACTGACCCCCTCCTCTGTAATACCCCCAAATGAATTCCTTCTGCCCTTCCACCCAGGCAATAAATAATGACTGATCTCTAATATATTCATTAATTCAGTCTTTAAAATTGAGTGCTTCGAGCGCACTTGAACATTTTCTTGAATTACGAATTTGTCTTACAATTGTTTTAATAAAAATAGCTTTTGGCTTTTAAGGGTGAGAAGAGGCCGTCTTTCTACGCTGCTTTACAAAAACAAACTTAAACCAGAAGGTAACTCGTTGAAACAAAAGAGGGAAGTATAGTATCATTGACTTTTTCGCGTTTTTGTAAATGAGATTTACAATAGATGATCCGAGAAATGCAAATGTTATACCTGAAAGGTTTGTCATTTCTTGATTATAATCAGTTGTCAATGTTGGCTTATTTAATAATGTTTAGTTGAAAATAATGTATCAAGGTATTACAGAAGTTGAATTCTGACAAAGAGTTCCATTATAATCTTCTTCCCTGCTGTAACTGTGAAGACTAACCTTAAAAGCTGCCAAAAAAGAATGAGAATAAAAATTCTTTTTTCGTTTTACGTAAAAGAAAGTTTTATGTTAGAATATCATTTAGTCTATCTTTGAGTGTCGACAAGTTACCGTTATTGATTCAACGCCAGTAAACACGTAATTCTCATCGCAGAGTATGGTTAAAGCCACTCCTTTACATAAACTATGTGCAAGATGTAGAGCTAGTTTATAGCTATACATCAACTGGTTTCAAACAAATAATCTTCTGAGTTGACCTAATACCTTACGTTTTGTCTTTATCTGGCACAATCCTTTTTTTTTCTTACTTTTATGCCATAAATAAGAATCCTTTTTGAAGTTGTTATAAGAATTATTATAAACAGAATAAGAGAGATGGTAATCTTTGAGCTCGGTAAAGAAATAGAGAAACATGTTTTCCGTCTTGGCACGAGTGTGAAACAAAAAAAAAATTCAACTGAATCGAACCTCAGACCTTTCGGATCCCTCGCTCCGATGCTTTACCACTTGGCTACAGATACTCTATGATGAGCGAGGCCCATTACGAAGTTCATCTAAGAATTATTAACTTTTAGTTAAATAGCTTTTGCAATTGAAAAAGATGTTAGACACATCCAAGCATGTATGATAAATCAAAACTCTCCGTGATCTTTTCAAAGCGTGATTTATTTTACTACTTTCTTGAACATAAGCTTCCTTCTTCAAACTAATGATATAAATATAGACTGCCCAGTTTCGGGTGGACACCAATTTTACCCTCCAATTAATATGCATCGCTTATTCATCCTTTATTGACTTAATATTCAATATTCTGTATAGTACAACCAATTTCACATGTTAAGCACATTGTCTCATAAATGTTTCTTATTCTGCTGATGTTTTTTTAATTCAAACATGATAACGTAAAATGTATAATTATGATAATGTTATCATTGTAACTGCTAAGTTCCATTAAACTTCATTTGAAAAAGTAAAATGTGAGTTTGTTGAAAAAAGCATTTCAGCTCTTTAAGATGAAATAAAAAGAATTTCCTGCCGTTAATTAACACCCATCTGTAGGATCATTTCATCTCCTTTTTTTTTTATTTTAGCTTCAGTGGATATAACCACCTAAACAAGATATTTTTTTGCGCCATCCTTTGTGTATGATGAATAATTAACAAACAATAATTAATTATTTTATTACGTTTTCGAGCTCTACATGTCTGTTTGGCTCAGACATCTGGAATGAACTGATTGATTTAATTCTCGCACCTGAATTGGCGGCTTATAAAAGGAAAGCAACTTAAAGAAATAATTTGGTGGAGAGATACCTTTAAAAAATGATCTGCTTAGGTGAGGTGTGAAAAACATAACAGTGTTCTCCAAAAAGTGTCTTTCTTTTGTCATGACATTTCTGAATGTAAAGGTGATCTGAAATGTGGGGCAAGCCTAAGTTTTTAAATATCGGAACGTGACGACACGTTTTATGTCGACGTCATGGTATAGACAAAACTGTCTATGGCTCGGACAGCTAATATCATTCGATTATGAATTAAAGTAATATGGATGACCAAATACTTTACACAAAGTATCTTAGAAAAGGAAATAATAATCAACGAAAAAGCATTTCTTATCTTGCTGCTAAACCGACAACAAGTCTACCGAGACGCATCGAATACTATTGGCCATCTTAACTTAACCGGACATGTTCCGAGATTGTCCAAAGGGAAACTGTTGATTGTTTATCGAAGCCAGCATTGACTATTTCAACTGAAGCAGTGGCACCAGCGCGAATTTTGTGGTTGTGTTCAACGCAAATACATCACAGAACTCCACACTAAAAGTTAAATTCCTTTGTGTCTCAAAACCGGATGATATTACTGACCCAGTTCTTGATCGAAAGCAAATCACTGTGCTGACTGTAAACCTGATACAAAACGTCGGCTGAGCTAATTTTGATCCTGTACGTACAATTTCATTCTTTAATTGACCCAGAAGTTTCAGGGGTAAGATTTTAAGCCGCTTGCGTCTGATCTGTAGAAGTATCTTCATGGCTGGGCTGCTGTAAACTAAAATTCAACTGCTGTGGATCTGTTTTGCGTTGTTAGGAAGGTTGGTCGGTGATTTATAAAATCGCTGAAAATCCCCGGCAATAACATTATGATATCTACATAATACTTCGCTATGACACACTATCACACAGTACCCATCGACCATAAGATGCTGTATGTAATCCTGATAGGTAAGTATTCTAAGTTGTATTTTATTGTAAACTGCAGCTAACCAGCAAGCTAGCTCAGTTGGTAGAGCGTTGTACCGGTATCGTAGAGGTCATGGGTTCAAATCCCGTTCGGGCCTGAATTTTTTTCTCGTTTCAGTAGTGTTCTTAGCTGCGAGGATCTCTTAATTTCGCATGTATTATCATGTTTCACAGATTTATATTTTTTCCAACACCTGTCCTGGAAGGATTCATAATTTAAGGGTCTTTCAGGGAGGCTATGAAAAGGGTGACTAACTAAATTCTGATTAAAAACTTATTTACCACGCTAGAAGTCACTTTTCTTTCGATTGTTGACTGGCTAGAATAAATACCATAAAAGGGTACTTTGGCAATCAAAGTTTAATTGAAAACCGACAACGACGAAACAAAGAACAGGAGTGTGTACGGTATTGTGCCTTCTCCCATACAAGACTCCGGTACAAAGCATCCAATACTACTCTTTCAAACCGTTTTGAAAAGACACGGGCCACAACAAAGCAGCGTTGAAACTGCACCCGTCAATTCTTCCCCATTTCAATCTTAACTCGTCAGCACAACTGCAAATGCACATAAATTGTGTAAATAAAAATGACAGAGCAGATGTAAAACTTATTATCTATCGCTGTTGTAATAGCCAGTAGTAGCCACAGAGATATGGTCAGTTTTCACGACAACAAGAAGCTACTTAAATTTCCCTTGGCGTCCCCAAAAGTAATACTATTAGAGAAGTGGCTTCAACCCGGAAGCCATCCAGTCTGGTTCATATTGTCAACATCACGATTTGCATAATCAAGTAATTAGCGCAATTATTAAAACATAAAACGATTGGGACGGCTTTTAATTTTAAAGTTGATGCCTCGGTTGCTTGAGTCTCTCAAGTTACGAAAGTCGATCTGTAGGCCTTGAAGACGAAATACAGAAAGCATTTTTTTTTTATGCGTCCATGTCTGCACAAAATGTGGCTAAAAGATTGGTTTCCTAGTGTTCCAATCGGATTGGTTATAAAGAAAAGACTTCACATATATTTCTGGGACATAGGTGAAAACTTTCGAACAGGAAGAAAAAAAGTGTCGAGGAAGTTCAAGTACCTGAAACTGCCTTGCCCGAAGTTTAAGCGAGGACGGCAAATGGCGAACGTGACCGCTGGAGTCTGGTTACGTGACTCCTAAGCGTTTGCAGTCACGCGTATTCAAAAGCCAAGGTGGATCCAACACTCCCTAATAATCGGAATAAAACTGAAAATTTAAGTCGCTAATTTCGATAAGATGATGGAATTGATATTAGGACTTTAACTCACTCGAACACCGAGCTTGAGATACGATTAATTAAAATCATCTCCCGTAACTAGAAGCATGACTGCGTGTACCCAGATACCCGTTACACTGAGAAGCATTTTATTGCGGTTGCTCTAAATGTTTTGCATTCGAAGTCGTGCGATGTTGGAATCGAAAAATAGCTCATTACTCGTTTCAAGGCCATTAGGCCGTAAATGGCGAGTTAAGGTCTCACTTTATTTCAATCGATAAATTTATCAGTCTATCTTCTTAGATGAGAAAGTTTCTTATAACAAAATTATTTTCATATCAGGATCACGATCTATAAAATCAACTTAAATTGTATAAAATATTCCTGCTCATTTCAATCTACTGTAGAAGTAAGGATTTCTTAATTTGTGAGATAGCTAGTCTGACTTGCAAAAAGTATCCACTTACAGTACACTACCAAAGGAAACTAGGTTAATAAAGATCCGCAAGTAACAAGAAACATGCAAGGTACTCGTTAATTTTCTTTCCCCCTGGACGGCTGCACTATGACTGCAACGGACTTTGATAAATATACAGCCATAAGAAAGGCAAATGAGAAAACAGAACCCCACTGACTCGAATTCCCAAGAGAAACGAAAAATGGTTCGAATTAGCGGGTGTTCAAGTTCTACATCCATAAAAACGGCATAGAAACTGGTAAATATTTTTGCACTCCATGAGGAAAAAACAATTATG